CCTCCTCCGCGCTGGAGGTGGGCTAAGAGCAAGTCCGGCGTCGTGTCCCCGCTGGGGGCACTCTGACAGAGTGCTGCCGCTGGCAAGGATTGATCAGGAACCCGAATCCCCACGCGTGGCTCCGATTCCTGAGAGGTGAGAGGGGTTCTCGGCCGTTACCTCCCGCTGGCGGAGGGTGCGCGTGCCGCTCGGTGACAAAGCGTTGCTTGGTGCCGGCTCCACGTCGCCCTTCCAACTCTGCAGCCGGTTTCAGGCCTTCACCCCTGCCTGCGGAGGTGCGGAGCCATAGGCCCAGGCCTGCGACGGGCGAGGGTGGGCACGAGGTCCAGCAGAGCCGCTGCCCCAGTGCAGTCACGTGGGGAAGCTTCCGCCTCCTCCCTCTCCTCCTCCGCCTCCTCCTCCTCGCCCGCCTGCCCCGCACCGGGGGCTAGGATGCTGCTTGACTTCTGCATTGATGCACCGTAGGGAGGCCACCAGGCCATACAGTACAAAGGTCTTATATGGCTGAGTATCGGCATGCCCTTCCAGAGCGACGTAAGCAAGCCCTCCCGCGGAGAACGGCAGTGGCATCATGTTTCGTCTTGTCCCTTCTGCGCCATCCTCCCGCTTAGGTCACCGCTAAGGTCACAACCCTGCGGCCTCAGTTGCGCTAGGGAAAGGGCCTTACCATGGTTCTGCATGGGGTGTGGATTGGGACCATGCCTCCAATACGGTCACGAGGGGGGGTCCGAGATCGGTGCTGCTTTTCCTTCTACTCTCCAGGCCCGCCCCCTCCTCAAACAAATCCCAAACAACACCACCACAACACCCAACAACCTCCAACGCCCCCTGGTACCCCTGCCTCCTCTCCTCCTCGTTTTCTCTACGGGGGGGTAGGTGACTGCCCGATCGCACTGGAGGCAGATGGGAGCCGTGTGGCGTGGATGCCCCTAGATGGAGCCACATCCCACGCTGAGGTGCAAGGCAAGCCGAGGGCTCTGAGAGGGAGCTCGGTCTCCCAGTCGGCTCCTCCGAGGAAGAGGGCGACGAGGGAAACTATAGAGGAGCAGCAGCACCGCGAGGGGCAAGATCACACTGAGAACGAAAACGTTGACGAAGGGGGGGAATCCGTAAAGAGGAGGAGGGATCGCGCGAAAGGGAAGGGGAGGGAGGAGAGGAAGGGAGAACGGAGGACCCTTCAGGCCCTCCTGAAAGGTCCTTGGAACACAAGGTTACCCCAACACAACTGGAAACTATCATCCTGCTCCTCCTCCTCCACCTCCTCTTCCTCCTCCCTCCTGCCCCCCCTCCTCATCCTGCCGCTGGAGGGGAGAGGAGGGAAGAGGAGGGAGGATAGCACCACGTCCTCGCAATGCTCGGCGGACACGTCGCCATCCTCCTGGCCGCAATCGCACCGATGAAGGACTGACTGCCTCTTCCCATCCCCTCCTGCGCATCCCCATCCTTCTACTCCGCCTACTCCTTGCCTCATGCTTGTCTTCGTCGTCGTTGTCTTCCTCCGCCGCCTTTTTCCCCAGAAGAGCTGAAACTCCTGGGAGGCCTCTCGGAAACCCTCGGGGCTGGGAAGTCATGAAGGCCGGGGGGAAACTGCTGGGCGTCTCGTAGGACCCTTCAAGAGGCCCTCCAGAGCTCTTTGGGAGACGTCTGGGAAGCTTTCGGGAAGCTTGTGTGTGGAGGTCTCGGGCAGACCTTGGGAATGTTGGAAGACGTGGGCGCGAGGACAAACCCGCCCGACGTCCTAAGGGGCTCAGTGGAGTAGGGCCCTCATGGAGAGCTTCAAGGGAAAGTCCAGAAAGACCGAAGCGTTGCGACGTGGGGGGGGGGCTCCCGTGCAGCGCCACACAGGGTCACTGCTGCACTGGGGTGGCCTTGGAGTGGAAGTCTCTTGGAACTCCAGGCTGGTAAGCTAATTATGGGAGACCCATCTGGAAGCTTCAGGTGCAGCCTGGGAGACCCCTGGGCAAGCTCTTGGGAAGCTGTGGGGGCCCGGGAGGCCCCTGGGATGCCCTTGGAGGCCCAAGGGAGGCCAGGGGGGACGCCCCTGGAGGTCTCGCACCAAGAGTGTTTTTCGTGGCGGCGCCCTCCGTGCCAACAGGACCGGCGATGGCACGCCGCGAGACTTCCTGGGTAAAAGAAGGCAAGCACCACGACAAGCGGTATTGCTTCCTCGGCGGACGATCGGCCCATGCAGAATCCCTGCGGCGACGTAAAATCATACAACACACATCAGGTCGGGGGTACTATCAGGCAGCCCGTGTGGTGCGCTTCTTTCCTTCTGATTATACTGCTCTTCAAGCTTCCTTCTCCCCTCCCAACCTCCTCCTCCTCCTCCTCCTGAAACCTCGCTCCTCCGTCTCCTCCTCCCCTTCTTCCCTCGATACTTCCTATCCTCCTCCCCGCCCTCCTCCTCCTCCTCCTCCTCATCATCATCATCATCATCATCCTCCTCCTCTCCTCCTCCCCACCTCGCCTTCTCTAATTCCCCCCCCCCTCGCTCGATGCCTCGATACCTCGTCATTCCGCCCCCTCGATGCACCTCCCTCTCTCATTGCGGCGACGGCAGCGTCGACGCGCGCCTCGCCAGGTCGGGGCCGGAGCCGTCTGGCGGCCCCCTCCCCCCTCCCGGGGCGCTCCTCCTCGCGCTGCTGGCCGCCGCCGCGCAGCTCCAGGACCGCCGCCGGGCCCAACTCGGCCGTGGCCGCCCACGGCGCCTTGGACTCGCAGGTCTTCCGGTTGGCGGGCGGGATCTCGATGCACCCCCGCCCCCACCCTTCTTGCCCCTCCCGGGCCGCCCGGGGTTGGGGGCAGGGGGAGGGAAGAGGGTGGAGGAGGAGGGATGAGGGGAGGAGAAAAGGGGGAGCAGAAGCGGGAGAAGGGGAAATAGGTCGGAGGAGAAGGAGGAGGTCGAGGGATGCCTCCGCGCTCGCAACGCTCACGTTCGCATCGCTCACAATGACGCTCACGGCCTGCCTGTTCTTCTGGATCCGCCCGCCCGCCCCACCTCCTCGAGACGAGCACATGCCTCGAGGCGCCAGGGGGAACTGTCGCAGCAGGCGTTTCTGTTCGCCCTCTCGGCGTTCTTGGCGGCCCTTCTTGAATCTCGCCCCACCCAGCCGCGGGTACAGTTCTATGTCTCGCTGCACGAGCACCCATTTCCCTCCTTGTATGGTGAGGGGCGCCCTGGGCGCTGCGAAGGCACTTGTACAGATCGCACTGCGACTCGACAGTGACCACGCATGCCGCAGCGAAGGCTTCGAGCAACGAGGGCGAGCGCGGAACGCAGCCACAGCAGGTCGAAATCCATTGAGCACACTTGTTTCTCCCAGCCCCTCCCGCGAGCGTCATAGTAATCACGATCAATATCATCATCGCCACCACCACCATCATCCCCACCATCATCATCAGCATCATCACGTTCATTTTCATCAGCACCACCACCACAACCACCATCATCGCCATCATCATCATCACAATCAGTATGTCCATCATCCGTATAATCATCATCATCCTCTCCATTCATCATCATCATCATCATCATCATCATCATCATCATCATCATCATCATCATCATCATCATCATCATCATCATCATCATCATCATCATCATCATCGTCATCGTCATCGTCATCGTCATCATCCTCATCATCATAATCTGCATCCTGGTCATCACCGTAAGCATCAGCAGCATCATCATCGTCATCATCGTCATTATCATCATCGTCGTCATCGTGACCATTATTAAAATCATACGATTATGCGTCATGCGAATTGCTCATCACCATCATCGCCGTCACCATCGTCGGCATCATCGTCATCAGCAACATCATCATTATCACCACCATCATAACCGCCAATCCCCATCGTCATCGCCATCATCACCACCAACCTGATCATCGCCACTGTCACCATCATCAGCATCACCCTCATCATCACCACCGCCGTCATCATCGCCATCCTCATCAGCATCAGCATCAACATCATCGCCTCCTCCAATATGTCCAAACTCCTTCCCATCGTCCCTGTTCCACCTCCACCTTCTCTCTCCTCTCTCCTCCGACTTCAAGCTTCAGGCTGCAGGCTGGTCTGCCGCGTCAGCTGGAACCCTCGCCCCCCCCCCCCCCGCCTCACCCCAGCAGCAGAGCTTCGCTGCGGGATGAAAGTTTTGGGGCTGCAGGCGCGGGGCGCACAGCAGGCCAAAGAGGGGGGGCGACATCCGAGAAAAGGGAGAACGCGGAGCGGGCGACAAGGGGAGGAGCAACAAGAGAAGAGAGAGAGGGAGAGAAAGAGAGAGAGAGAGAGAGGGAGAGAGAAAGAGAGGGACAGAGAGGGAGAAGCCGGTGGGTGCAGCAGGCACGTCAGAGGGATGGGGGGCGGGAGAGGGGAGTAAGAAAATCGCACACGCACCCGAAAATCCCCCAGAGCACCCCGGGGGGGACAAAGGAGGACAGGGCGAGGCCAGGGGAGAAGCGGGGACAAGGAAGATGGGGGAGTCGGCGGCCCGCGGGTCAAAGAGTCGCTCCAGGCTTCTCCTCCCCCATGGCCTCTTAGACCCTCGGCTCGTGCCTCACGCCCCTCCCCAAGCCCGTCCCGCGGGCATGGGTCTGGCAGTGCGCGTGTGGCGCGCGTGGCGCGCCAGGTTTGCCAGGTTGGCTTGGCGGTGCGCGGTCGTGCAGCTGGCGGGAAGAGTGGGCAGCGAGGAGGGAGGAGGTGGGCCTGACCCCCCCGCCAGCAGGTGGGCCCGATCCTCGGTTCCTGGGTGCATGGGGGGAGGGCGCCCCGTCTCCGCGGCTGCCAGTGCGGCGCGCGTCTCGGGTGGGGGAGGCGGAGCGGCGCTCCCGGCGGCGGCGCGACGGGGAGAGCCATGCGGCAGCACGGGCCTGCCCACAGGCGCGGTGAAAGTGCCCCCGGGCCTGCAAATCGGGGCGGAGGACTGGGAGAACCGGGGAACCTGCCCCCCCCCCCGAGGGAGAAGGGCCTGCTCCGATGGGCCCACCCACGCGTGCGCAGGAGATGGCCGACTCAGTTGGTGCCCGGGCCGCGGGAGGTCCGGCCCCGCGGGCGGTTGGCCGCGGAGCTGCAGGAGCTGAGGGATGGCCTGCTTCTCCTGTGCGGCCCGGCTGTCCTTCTGCAGGGCGGCCACTTCTGGCTGGGCGACGGCGCGCTCGCGCCACTTCTGGTCGGGCGACGGCACGCTCGCGCCACTTCTGGAGGGCGGCCACTTCTGGTTGGGCGACGGCACGCTCGCGCACGATGGCCCCGTGCCCGAGCAGGCTCGTGGCGGATGCCGTGCTCCCGTGGTGCCCCATCCACGGAGCACCTGTGCCCGAGGAGCTCGCCTTGTGTGAGGGCGGGCAGCTCGGAGCGCGGACCGCCATATCTGCGGCGGCCTCCTCGGAGTCAGCCTCCTCCAAGGCCTGGTGGCCCAGGGCGAATGCGCGCCCGCCGCTGGTCTCCTCCCCAGACCCCCGACGTAATGAGTTTTTCATTACGTCGACCCCCAGAGTTCTCGACCCCTTCCCCAGGACCGGCTTTGCATCCTGAGTCGTTTTTTGACGCTCCCGAGGCCCGGTGAGGGCCCCCAGAGGCTGAAAATTGCGAAAAACCTCCCGTCATGATTTTTTCATTACTCGAGGGGGTCTGGGTCTGAGTCAGCCTCCTCAAAGGCCTGGTGGCCCAGGGCGAAGCGCGCCCGCCGCTGGTCTCCTCCGTCGACGTCCTCCCGTGGCCAGCGGTCCTCCCCACCCGGGCCCCGGAGGCGTCGGCCGCCTCTGGGCGGCGAGGCCCGGCCCGCCGAGGCCCGGCGGGCCTTCTATCGAGGCCGCGGGTGCCTTATCGAGCCTGCCGGCCGCCTCGGCGCTCTTTCTCCGCGGAGGCTCCGTCGCTGCCGGAGAGCTGGCGGGCGCTGGGCTCGACGGGCTGGGCGCCCGCGCCAGGAGCAAAGCCGCTGGAAGCGAAGGCCGCATCCCTCCCCCCCCCACCCCCGCACAGGCAGCATCATGGGCCGAGGGAGAATGCGCAAGCGCATCCTATGGGCACACATGCAGGGCGCGGCCCCGCAGCTCTTCGCCGTGCGGCGTCTGGTGCGCCTCCTCCGCAGCCTGGGCAGCTTGGGCAGATTCGTGGCGGACGCCGGCCCACAGACTCGCTCAGTGCTGGTGGCGGTGATTGCTCGGCGGCATATGGCGGCACCCGGATACCCCAGGGTGTGGCAATCTCTTGTCCCAGACCCCCGACGTAATGATTTTTTCATTACGTCGACCCCCAGAGGTCCCGACCCTTTCCCCATGACCGGCTTTGCACCCTGAGCCGTTTTCTCACGCTCCCGAGGCCCGGGGAGGGCCCCCGGAGGCCGAACACTGGGAAGAACCTCCCGTCGTGATCTTTTCATTACTCGAGGGGGTCTGGGTATGGCGGTACCCCATCTCTGGTATTCGGCGTTCTATTTTTCTTTGGAACTCTCCCAGAATGGCGGTCTGGGTCTGGGTATGGCGGTCTGGGTCTGGGTATGGGTATGGCGGTCTGGGTCTGGGTATGGAATTCGGCTTTCTATTTTTCTTTGGAACTCTCCCAGAATCTCTGGTTCCGATTTGTCCCGATCTTCCGCTCAACTGAGGATACCCCAGGGTGTGGCAATCTCTTGTGAGCGCACCTCTTGCCTCGGCCGGCCTCCGCTGGCCCTGCGCCGGCCTCCCGCCGGCGGCCGCCGGCGCGAGGCGGCCTCGTGGTGCTTAGCCGCGGGCTCCTCCCCGCCGACCTCCCGCGCCGCCCTCCGCCGGGGAAGAAGAGAGCTGCCAAGCTCTCCTCCTCCTCCTGCTCCTGCTCCTGCTCCTGCTCCTGCTCCTGCTCCTCCTCCTCCTCCTCCTCCTCCTCCTCCTCCTCCTCCTCCTCCTCCTCCTCCTGGGTGCGCAGGCGCTGCGGCCGCCCCCCGATCGGGAGCCCTGCCCGCTGGGCCGGCAGTCCTCCCTTATAAGCGGAGGCCCTGCTCTCGCCGGCGCCGTGCGGGCGAGGCCGCTACACGCGCGTGATGGGCGGCTGCTCCTCGCATGGCGGCCTCTGACGCCGCCGGGACGAGGTGCGCCTCTGGGTATGACGCCAGGGCTGGGCCGTCGGCCGAGCTGGTGCTCCCCAGCGGCTGGTAGGGGCAGTGCCTCGTCCTCTTGATCACTGGCGGGTTACCTTTGGCTTTCCTGGTAATGACGGCAGGGACCTGCACGACCACGTGCTCGCAGGCGATGGCGGTGATTGATGGTGGTCGCCGACGCCTCGCTGCGTAGCCCATGAGGCGGATGGCCGCACGCAGCCTATGCCTCGAGGGCCCGATCTCGGTCTCGTAGCCGCTCTTCACCCTGAAGCGGTCGTCGGCGCGGAACGCCTGGGCCGTGTTCGCGGGCGAATTTCGCCTCATGGCAGGTGCCGCGCCTGGGAGCCGCCGCGAGAATGCGGGAGAAGCCTGTCCCTCGCTGGACTCTCTCGGACGTGGCCCTTTCTCCTCGCACTCCTCCTCCTCCTCCTCCTCCTCCTCCTCCTCCTCCTCCTCATCGTCTCCGTCCTTTTTCCCCCTTGCTCCTCCTTCTCCTCCTCCTCCTCCTCCTCCTCCTCCTCCTCCATATCTATTCCTCCTTCTCGCTTCCCCACTCGCCCTGCTGGGACCCCGAAGAATCTACTAGCACCCGCTGGACCCCCTGTAGAACAAACTACCCCCTCCAAGACCCCTCAATCCCTGTCAACCTGCCAAGGCCCCTCCCCCCTCCCTCATCCTTTCCGCGTTTCCGAGATGATGTCCCTCTTTTCGGCCATCAATCACCGAGCCCCTCAACCCACACGAGACCCCTCCGCCTTCCTCCTTCCGCCTCATCACCTCCTCCGCCTCTTCTCCCTTCGCATGCGAGAGGGGTCCTGGTGGACGCGGGCCCCGAAGCCCAGGGCGTCCCCCGGGATCTGCTTTCCGCCCAGAGCCGACTTCTGACGGCCCGGGGCTGCAGGGGGGGGGGCAGGAGCCCCGAAAATGAAGGGGCCCTGGGACACGCAAATAAATAGACACAAATAACAGGATTCCCCATATTTTCCTAGATTCTCTGGGTTTTTGTCTTCCCCCCCGCTTCCCATATTTTCCCATATTTTCGATGGAATCGACGATGAATTGTGTCTGGAAAACCTCCACGAACTCCATTCTTTCACTCAGAGGGCCAATGGAGACAACGCCAGCTTCCCCGCCCGGCCCAAACCGTTCAACATCGCTCCCCTGGACCCCTCCCGGGGTCCTTCTTGACCCGCCTTCCGAGGCGGAGGATAAGCAACGCCCGGGGGCGCTGCTGCTGGCTCGACTGAGCCCCCCTCCGATTCGCGCTGACCCTCACGAGCGGCGAACATTCACGCCCTCGCGGCCTGGATCCCGGGCACGATCCCGTGGATACGCCGCCGCTCGGATACGTTCCGCGCGGGGCATCCGCGAACCATTCCCGCACCCATAGGGTCGCGCAGCGCAGGGGCCTGGCCCGCGAGCCCGTGGAGATGGAGATGCTCCCCGACAGCGAGGCCCCGACGACCCTGACGCCGCCGACGAACGGCGGCGGCGGCGCCGGGGCGAGGCCTTGCGCGCCGGCGGCGCCTCCGGCGCGGGACGCGCAAGGCCCAAATCGGAGATGAGGCCGGCAGCGAGCGTCGCGCCGAAGGCCTCGGGCGGCGCCTCGGTGTGGGGGGCAGGGGGGGCGGTGCGGGGGCGCAGCTCGCCGTCCCGCCAGGCTCTGCCCTCGACCCGCGAGGGTTGCAGGGGGGAGGTTTTCGGGCGCCTCTGGCCATCGCTGGGCCGCCAGCGGCCTCCAGAGTGCTGTGGGACGCACGCCCTCCTCCTCCTCCTCCTCCTCCTCCTCCTCCTCCTCCTCCTTCTCCTTCTCCTCCTCTTGTTCTTGCTCTTGCTCTTGCTCTTGCTCTTGCTCTTGCTCTTGCTCCTCCTCCTCCTCCTCCTCCTCCTCCTCCTCCTCCTCTTGCCCCTCCTCCGTCTTTCCTTTCGCTCACCGCAGTGCGAGTACCTCGTCCTGCCTCGGGGGCTTGATGAGACGTCGCGCGATCTTCGACGCCGCTGGCGTGCTGTCCCGCCATGGGCCACGTTGGCGTCGTGAGTCAATGTCACCCCCCCAAACCCCCACCCAACAGCGAGAGAGTGAGAGAGAGAGAGAGAGCCAGACACGCCCTTCTAAATGCACTCAGGAGGGCACGCAACCGTTCTGCTTCGATGAACTTCGCCGAGCTCTCAGGTGTGCACTCGGGCGGTGTGCGGGGATGCGAGAGGGACGTGTTTGAGGTCAGGTCTGGCATCAACGACTTGCTTCTAGAATAGCTTGTCTGTTTGAAATCAGACCTGTTTTCGAAAAGGCGTGTTTCTAGAGTAGTTACCGCTTCATTGGAAGACAGGACCATCCGACTGAAGAAACAAGTGTTCCAGAGTGTCCTTGGCCTTGTTTTCGTGGGAGGAGGAGGAGGCGGAAGAAGAGGAGGACCAGGAGGAGGAGGAGGAGGAGGAGGAGGAGGAGGAGGAGGAGGAGGAGGAGGAAGAGCAGCGGCAGGGAGCAGCACACCGGAAAGCAGCGGCTCTACGGGGACATCCACAAGTGGGATCAGCAGTACCTCAGAGAGCAGCACGACGAGTATCAGGAGCAGCACGGCGAGTACCAGGAGCAGCACGAAGAGTACCAAGAGCAACTAACTCTACGTTGACGTTCGCGAATGTGACTCGTACTAAAAGCGGAGAGCGGAACAACGGGCACCAGGAGTATCACGCCAGAGAGCAGCAGCTCCACATTGACCCCTGCGAGCGGGACCTGCCGCACACCAGGGAGCAGCACACGTGCACGCAGCAGCTGTCTGAGTGAGCCCAGCAGCACAACAGAGAGCAGCATGCCCAAGACCAGGAACAGCGCGAAGGGCGGCAGCAGCTCGTCGGTGGCGACTGCGGGGGCCGCCAACAGCTCGACAGGGAGCAGCACCTCGGAAGGCAGCATCCCTACGTTCAGGCCTGCGAATGGAACCAGAAACGCAACAGAGAGCAGCACGACCGAAACCAGAAGCGGCTCGGTGCACAACACACCCTCCACGCTGACACCCCGGAAGCAGACCAGCAACACGCAGGCCGCCTCACAGCTGGAAGCAGCCGCAAGTCCGCGGCCAGCACCCCCCTCGGCCTTTCAGGGCGACATCCTGGCCGCCTGCAGCACGTCGCCCTGCACTTCGGCGGCTCCCGCGCGGTGCATTGCATGAATTGCTACGGCTATGCCGGCGGCCGCCGCGAGGCCGAGGCAAACGCAGACCTCGTCCTCGAGGGCATCGAGTGGCTGCGGGGCCTTGGGGAGGTGCCAGCCCTCCTCGTCGGCGATTTGAACTGTCGACTCCACGAGGCTGGCCTGGATGGTGTGCTCGCCATGTCGGGGTGGCGCGACCTTCTGGCCGCGGCGGGGCCGACGTCCCTGCCGTCCCAGGGAGAGCCGTCGCGCATCGACTATGTCTTGGTGAATCCAGCCGCGGCGAGCTTGGTGGAGCGGGCAGGAATCCCACCAGCCCTTTGGGCGTGAGTGGTTTAGGGAGCCCTCTCTGTTCTCAACCCCCCTTCTTCCCCTTCGGGGAAGGGTTTACCCCTCCCCCTACCCCCTCCCCCTGGACCTGGAGAGGGGGTTCCGCGGGTCGTTGGAAGGGTCTTTTTCGACTCCTGGGAGGGCTAAACAACGACACCCCTCACGAGGATTCTGGCCCCGACGGGGGGAGGGAGAAAAAACCCTCTCCTCTTCCTTGAAGCCAAAATCATTGATTTTACTACGGTTTTGGCCCCATTTGGGCCTTCTGAGGGGGCAGCGCTCATGAAAGCTCCCCCTCCCTTCAAGGCACAATTATTGATTTTACTGAGGTTTTGGGCCCATTTTGCCCTTCTGAGGGGGCAGCGCTAATTAAAGCTCTCTTCTTCTTTGATCGATTTCCTCCAAGATGGCCCCAAGAAGCGCCCAGGAGGCACCAAGAGGCCCCAAGATGGCCCCAAGACGCCCCCAGGCGGCTCCCAAGAGGCCTCCAAGAGGCCCCCAAGATGCCCCCAAGAGGCCCCCAAGAGGCCCCAAGAGGCTCCCCCGAGGCACCCAAGACGCTCCTGGAAGCCCCTGGGGCCGCCAAGAGGCCCTCAAGACGCCCCAAACGGCCTCCAAGAGGCTCCCAAGAGGCCCGACGAGGCTCCCCCAAGGCACCCAAGACTCAAGACGCTCCTAGAAGCCCCTGGGGCCGCCAAGAGGCCCCCAAGACGCCCCAAAAGGCCTCCAAGAGGCCCGAACGACTCACACCACCAAGAGCCCGAACGACTCACACCAGAAGGAGGGGCCCGAACGACTCACACCAGGACGAGGCGCCCGAACGACTCACACAACGAGGAGCCCGAACGACTCACACCACGACGAGGGCCCCGAACGACTCACACCACGAGGAGCCCGAACGACTCACACCAGGAGGAGGGGCCCGAACGACTCACACCACGAAGAGCCCGAACGACTCACACCAGGAAGAAGGGCCCGAACGACTCACACCAGGACGAGAAACCCCAAACGACTCAAACCACGAGGAGCGCTTTCTCTCCCTCCTCCTCCGCCTCGTCCTTCTCCCGCTCTCACCACAAGGAGGATGTACAAGGAGGTGGGAGGAAGGAGGAACAGGGGAGATATGCGGGGGCAGGCGGAAACACGCCTGAAAAACACGACTGTCGGCATGCTTCGCAAGAGTTACTGTTTTGAGATGGGCTGGTGGGGATACGCGAAGCGTAAAGAATTCGGTGGGACCTGGGGCTGGCCATGCATGCGGGACTCCTGGTGGAGCTCCGGGTAGAGGCTCCTGAGGTGACCTGGATCCGCCAGCCCGTCCCAGCTCTGGACGGCTTGGCCACGCCTGGATGGAACCAGGAGGCTGCGCGGGACACCACGGCGGCGGTGGTCGCGGCGCACGGGGTGGGCTTCCAGGGGCGGGCTTCCAGCAAGCGCTTCACGATGGCGACCTTGAGGCGGCATGGTCGAGCCTTAGCCTGGCCATGCGCACATGGCCGCCGCGCGGCGGGGCCTGCCTGCGACTCCAACGCGGCCGCACGCAGCTGCCGCAAGACGTGCCGAGCGGCCGCCCGCAGCCGGCGGGAATGGGGAGGCCGCCGACGCTGTAGCCGACGCTGCGTTGTTGCGGCTCCGTCGCCTCCGCGGCCTTCGGCACGCTCAGGGCCGCCCCTCGACGGCCTCCAGGCGAGTGGCCCAGGCGACCCTCTGGGCCCTCCGGGCCGCGGACGCTGGACATCCCGAGTGGTCACGTCAGTTGGCGGGTCTGCAGGAGACCACGCCGCTTCCGCAGGCACTGTTGGACCGCGCGGAGGCTGCGTGGCAGGCCGCAAGGGGGGACGCGAACGCGAGGCGGCGCAGCGCTTGGCGTGAGTGGGTCCAGGACGCCCTTGCTAATGGGCAGGGCCGGCTGTACCGCTGGATCCGCGGCGGCGGCGTGCTCGAGGCCGAGACGGTTCCTGATCCTGCGGCCGATGCCCCTGCCTCGCCTGAAGGCGCCGTGGGGCAGAGGTCATGGGTGCTCGCCCTGCGAGGGGGGCCGGCTTCGCAGCTGCGGTTCTTCGAGGGGCCGTGGCGTGGGCTCTGGCAGCGGCCGGCGGCGCCGGCGTTGGGGGAGGAGTGGATGCAGGAGCTCGATAGTCCCTCTCCCTTCCCAGAGCGAACGCCATGGACGGCAGCCGCGGTTGAAGCTCTGCTCTGCAAGATGCCCAGGAAGAAAAAGCCGGGCCTAGACGCATGGATCATCAGCGAGCTCCGGCTCCTCCCGGAGGCGTTCCACAGCTGGATCGCCGATTCGTTCGAAGCTGTGGAGGCCAGGGGGGCGTGGCCGAGCGAGCTCGTGGAGCCTGAGGGGCTACTCCTGCCCAAGCCTGGGGGCAGCACGGAGAGCCCACTGGATCGTTGGCCGATTTGGCTGCTCCCCATCCTCTATGGTCCGCAGGCAGGGCACAGGTGTTTGCCCGCTGGCGGCTGCAGTGGGCTGGCGAGGACATGCGGTTAGGAGCGGAGGAGCTGGCGTGGGAGTTGGCCCTCGAGTTGGAGGCCGCCGCGGCACTGTCCGAGTGCGTGGCGGGGGCGGCGCTTGATTGGCGGAAGGCTTACGACGGGGTCGACCTGTCATCCCTCCCGGGCCTCCTTGCGCGCGCGGGCGTGCCCGCCTGGATCGTCGAGCCGGCGATGGGGGCTTACCGGGCGCGCCGCCGCCTCCGCGTGGGCCGCGCGATCGGGGATGCGTGGGTTCCCTCTTGCGGGCTGCTGCCGGGTTGCCCGCTGGCGGTGTTCATCCTGAGCATCCTGCCTTGGCCGTGGAGCTGCAAGGTCGGCCGGGTCGACAGCCGCTTGCGCCGTCGGTGTATGTGGACGACTTCGCCCTTTGGATGCGCGTTGCCTTCGCTGACGCCGCGGATGCTGCCGAGGCGGTGGCGGGTGCGCTGAGGGTCACGGACGCTTTCGAGACAGCGATGGATTGGAGCCTCAACCGAGGGAAGAGCAGACAGTTCGCCAACGGAGGGGCACTCCAGGGGTGGCTGGCTGAGCAGGCATGGCAGCGCGGCCCGGATTCCGCGACTTGGGAGTCGCGGCGGGCGCCGGCCCTGCCCGGCGCTGTGCGGTGGAGGCGGCCCGGGTCCGCGCCGCCGCGGTCCGTTTCGCCAGGATCGGCCGCCTGCCGCTGGCCTTCGGCCACCGCTGCATGCTGGGGGCGGCGACCGGCACCGCAGCTGGCCTCTTCGGGGCGGCGTGCGGGCGCCCCCTCCCGCGAGGGAGCTCGCTGCCCTGCGCACGGCTGCGCGGCATGCGGCTTGCCGCGGCGGCCTCCGGGCTTCCGCAGAGATCGTCTTCGGCGTCAGGAGCCCAAGCTGGCGGCTTGAGCCGCTGGCCGTCGTGGCCCTGGCGCCCCTGTGGCAGGCGGCCAAGGCCATGCGCCGAGGCCGCTTCCCCGCCGCTCTCTGGCGGGAGGCCGCGGGGGCCATGGCGGCCGGGCACGGCCGCGGCTTCGGGCCGCTAGCGGCGGCGGCCAGGAGCATGGCCGAGCTTCAGTTGGGGGCCGACATTGAGAGTTGGGCTGGCGTGCCAGAGGCGCCGGCTGGCTGGCGGCCAGAGGAGCGCGGCCTGCAGGCGACGAGGCGGGTGCTGCTGGAGGCTTGGGCTCGCAAAGAGGCCCGGGAGCTGGCAGGGCGCCAGGCCACTTTCGGGCACGTGGCGGCTGGTGTCGACCGCTGGGCCACCCAGCGGGTCCTGCAGCACGGGCGGCTCGCCGCTGACGCCGCGGGCGCGTTGCGCACGGTGCTGTCTGGCAACGTGGTCACAGAGAGTGTGGCTTCGAAGTGGGGCCGCTCGGCGGGCTGCCCGCACTGCGGCGCGCCGCTGGAGGACGCCCAGCACCGTTTCTGGGATTGCCCGCGCTGGGACTCAGCGCGACGCGCCGCCTTCGCGGCCACAGGGCTCACCTCCGAGGCGGCGCGGGATTGCCTGCCGCCTAAGGCGGCACTGACAGGAGTCCTGCCGCGGGACGCGCGCTTGGCGGTTCTTGCCGACCAAGCGATGTGGCCGCTCCCAGTGCCGGCGCTGCCCGGCTTGGCCACCGTTGCTGCGGGGGTCGCGGGCCCACGGGTGCGGGCGTGGACCGACGGCGCTTGCGTGCACCAGGCCAGGGCTGGCTGGGGGGCGCGCGTGGAGCACCCTGCTGGCACGACGCTGGAGCGCGCGGGGGGCCGGTCGATGGCGAGCACACCGCGCAGCGCGCCGAGCTCTTGGCTGCCCTGCAGGCGCTTGGGCTGGCCGGTGGGCCGGTGGAGGTCATCACGGATTCGACGTAATTACGTGAGCAACGGCGTGGCGGCGCTCCGGGGCGGGGCAACGCCCATGGAGTGGTCGCACGCCGACCTTTGGGACAAGCTGGAACCTTGCTGCCGGGCCGACTGGCTGAGGGCCCGCTGGGTCAAGGGCCACGTGGACGAGGAGGAGGCGCGGGGGAGGGGGCTCTCCCCGGAGGACCACGCTGGCAACGCGGCGGCCGACAGACTGGCTGGCGCGGCCGCGCGGCCGCGCCTGCCCGCCCCGGCCTTGCTGCAGCAGCGCGAGCGGCAGCTGCAGGCGCTGGAGGGCGTCCAGCGAGCTCTGGCGGCGGTGGAGCTGGCGGCCCTCAAGGCCAACCACGACTGCGCCGCGCCAGGCGGGCCCCAGGTGCGGCGCCGATGGGCAGCCGTCTGGCGCACCGCAGGCCAGCCACGCCCAGCGGCTGCCGGCGGCGGGCCGGCGTCGGCGAGGGCGCTCGGCGGGAGGCGTTGCCCGCCCGCCTGGCCGCGCGGGCGGGCGCGCCCGAGGCGCCGAGCTGATGCGGTGCAGCGGCGGCCCCCCCCCTCTCCTCCCTCCCTCTCGCCTCCTGCCTGCTTCTTCGCCACAGGGCCCCCTCTGCGCTTGTAAAACAATGGAGGGGCCGCGGATCGTCGGAGAAGGAGGAGGAGGGGGCGGTGCAATCGGCAGGGTGACTGTTCTGGGAGCGGGCTGATTGACATGGTGCATGATTGGTTGATCTAGTATTTGGCTGACTGATTCGCCGACTGTCCCTCGTGGTTGACCGACCGATTGCTGAATTCAACGCTTGACAAGCGATGTGATTGATCGACTGTCTAATGGATCGGCGGATTACCGAGTGAGTGCCTGCTTGCCAGAGCGCTTGACAGTTAACTGATTGATTGATTGTCTGGTTGATGCGATGTTTGATTGACTGATAGATTGGTTCAGTTGCATTGTCGATGGGTTAGTTAGTTGGACGCTTGGTTAGTTAGCTGCGTAATTGGTTGGTTGGCTGGCCAGCTGGCTGACTGCTTGGTCGCATCTGGCCGCTTAGTTGATGGTTGAATGCTTGACCGATCGATCGGCGGAGAACGGCGTTTTTAGTTGAGTGTCCCTGGCCCTGAGATGTTGGAAGAAAAACAAAGCTGGCAATCAGACTCCAAACGAACTGGTCCAGAGTGACCGAAAGTGAGATCCCCGAGCCGTGCATTGAAGTCCTCCAGTTCCTCCTCCTGCACTCGGCTTCTCCCTGAAGCTTAGAACTGACGGTCACGATCTGGTCTCTGCTGCGGCCCTGGTGGCACGCCATGCCCAGCGAGCTGATCGCGTGTCGCTCCGCTACGCGGGGCGGGAGGCTGGGAAGAGCTCGTGACATGGACGATTGGCTGGGAAGAGCTCGGGACATGGACGATTGGAAATGGGGACGTAGTTACCGTGGCGCGCCGAAGCGGGGTGGGCCAGAGCATGTGGAACGACAAGCTCAGCACAAGTTCCGGACTGTATTATGGGCAATCGGTAATCAGCTACCGATGGCACTGTGGGAGCGGGCGAGCTGAAGCAGAGGAGCATGCTAGGAGGGAGCCCAGCACAATAAGGGGCTGGACAGGGGAGACCTCTTTTCGTTCAATCATCAATTCGGTCAAGGTCACCCCTGATGCTGGGAGCGCGCAATCACAAGCCGCATACTTGCTATGCAGCTTTGTAGGGCATGGAGTAGAACTGGGGCTGGGTCTTCTTGTCCCACAGCGGCGGGAGCGCCTCAGAATGGCCGCGTGGATATACGAGCCGGTACATGGCGCCACACGCGAAGCAGATGAGGACCAGCAGGAGCGCACCGAAAAGAACGCCCGCCGCCACCAGCAGCCAAGGCGCCCACGGCTGAAAACTGCGGTGCGCGTCGTCCAAGGCGCGCGCCTGCACTGCAGCCGCGATCACCCAGCGGTAGTCAGTATCGAGAAGCCGGCTGGCGTCCGTGTAGCCGCCCTTTTGGAATTCGACTCCGTAGGGCAGGATCAAGCCCTTGTAGGGGTCAGGCTCCAAATCTTTCAATGGGATGGCCAGGCCCACTCCGGGGGCCTCCGCGGTGGCAATCAGGTTGCCATTCACGTCGACGAACTGATACCTCGCGATTGAATAGTCGACCATGGCATGGGCCACCAACGTTCCACCGCGATCGTACACGTCAATGCCCCCAGGCAGCAACTTCTCGGCCTCTTGCTGCAGCAGCTTCACCACGTAAAGCAGGTGGCCCTCGCAGTCCACCAGGGCAGTTGTGCGCCAGGTCGATGCTTGGTCGTCGCCGGCCTTGCCGTACTTCTCCTCTGGCGACTTCAGCACCGAGTGCGCCCCCTTGTAGACCGCAGACCACCAATCATTTTCTAGCTTGGCAATGGCAGGATAGTCCATGGGGCCTTTCCGCAACTTCCATTCGTACGAGTACTCCAGCTCCTCGTCGCTGGTCACTTCGCCACGGAAGGCTGCCTGCTCGTCCAGATTCCTGTTGTATGCCGTATCCCACGTCGTGGAGATGAACGAGAGCCGGAACGAGGAGTGGACCACACCCGTGTTGCTCTGCCACGTGCCGCCCTGGCCAGCCCACGTGGACTCTGTGGCCATCATGTGCAGCTTGGCGGGCAGCTTCACGAGCGGGCACGCCCCCCGGTCCTGCGCCGCGGTGCTGCCGCTCCTCGGGGTCGTCACGTTCTCGCTGGCTTCTCCAGGCTCCCCCGCAGCGGCGGCGGTGGCGGCGGCGCTAGCGTTGGGGGCATCGGGCGCCGTGGCCCTCAGCTGCAGGGCCGCGGGGAAGTCGGGCGCTGGCGGCCCACTCTCGCGCAGCACCTTTCGGGTCGGACGAAGTGCGGAACAAGTGGGCACAGGACCCGGCAGCAGATGTGGTCCAAAACGACAGCGGCCGTTGCTGGGCAGGCGACTTGCTGTCTCAGGTGTGCAGCTTCCGTGGCGACACCGACAGCGAACCCGGCTCAGAATTGAAAGGGGCTGCTGTCGGTCTTCATGCCCACTCTCTCCGTCCTCGCTTCGATCGAACCGAACCTGGTCGATCCTCCACTGCGGGACGGCACGCCCTCCGGCCCTGCCGTGCTCCGCAGCGGCGAGGCCGCCAGACGCGGCGCCAGCCGCGGCAGCAGCGGCGGCGCGCGCCAAGGCCAGGGGCCAAACACGGCGCAGCACCACCACGAGCGGCAGCATCTCTGGCCGGCGCGGACTACCCAGATACCGGACGACACGGTTTCGTTTCCACCCCGCGGCTCCCCCAAAAATCCCGCCCCCTTCCCCGGGGCCAAGGTTTTGCCGTGAATCAACTTTTGATGGAGCCAGAAAGAGGGCAGATCAAGGAAGAGGGAGGAGGAGGAGGAGGAAGAGGAGAAGCAGGAAGAGGAGGAGGAGGAGGAGAAAGAAGGAGGAGGACCAGGGAATAGGAGGAACAGGAGAAGGAGGAGGAGGAAGAGAAGGAGGAGGAGGACCGAGCAATAGGAAGACCGACGAGCAGGAGGAGGAGGAGGAAGAGGAGGAGGAGGAGCAGGAGGAGGAGGAGGAGGACGAGGAAGAGGAGGCGGACCAGTGTAAACCCAAGAAGCATCAACGATGTTGAAATAAACCTTCCCTCCAAGCTCCCTCTTCATAAGCCCCTACAACGGTTCATTGTTAATAGAGAAACTGCCTCGTTGGAGGACAACTGCTTGAAGACCCTGAAGCATGCCAGAACATTGCTCTCGGGATTCCAACGCCACGGATCAACCTGAATGTTGCGTCTGAACGATCCAGAACTGCGCCAAGACGCGATTCCTGGGACTTGAACGCCGCGAATCAACATAATTTGTGCACCCTCATAGACTTAGATGTTTCCAACACGCAATTTCTGGTATGCTGATCCTGGGAATCCGTGATTTTACTGAAACGTTTAAAACGAATGCGCGCGGCGCGAAGGCGAGAACCACATACTGAAAAAAGGAAACGCCCTTTAATCCGTGAAGCTCTTGCAGTGCTTTACGACGAATGCGCATGACGCTAAAACGAGAACCACATGTTGAAAACCACCCGCCCTCAATCCGTGAACGCTGGCAAATTGTTACGACGAATGTGTGCGGCGCTAAGGCGAGAGCCACATTTTGAAAACCATTCGCAGTCAATCCGTGAAGCTCTTGCACATGTTTAAGACGAGCGTTCGCGGCGCCAAAGCGAGAACCACATTTTGAAAACGACTCGTTCTCAATCAATAAAACTCTTACAACGTGTTACAACGAATGCGCGCGGCGCAGAAGCGGGAACCTCATCTTGAAACCGAGTGAACACAACTATTTCAAGTTTAAAACGAATGTGCGCGGTGTTAATGCGAGAGCCACCTTTTGAAAGCGGCCCGCCCTCCATCTGCGAAGCTGTTAGAAATTCTTGAGAGCTTCAGAGTCATGAGTGATATGGAAATCTCAAAAGAAACGCCTGGCCCGTTCTGAAATCAGGCCCCGGGGTGTGACAGGGATATGATATTTATAAGGGTAAGGAATGGATGAGGAAGACCAAGGAATAGGGGGAACGAAGAGCAGGAGGAGGACGAGGAGGACTATGAGGAGGAGGAGGAGGGCGAGGGCGAGAAGGAAAAGGAGGAGGAGAACGAGGACGAGGAGGAGGAGGTAGAGGAGGAGGAAAAGGAGGACAAGAAGGAAGAGGAGAGGAGGATAAACAAGAGAAGGAGGAGTTGCTGCTGCTGCTGCTGCAATCTGCATCGATGTCCATATCAGTTAGCGAAGCTATCTGCTTGCGGGCACCGCAGAGCCTGGGTTTATAGTTTACTAGGGGGCCTTTTTGGGACTAAAAGGGAACGCAAGGCCAGGAGCCGCTGCCGTTGCGCGCGCAGCGCAGGCAGTGGCCCCGTGGCGCGGGGGTAAGTCTATTTCAAATTACGGGTTAATTCTCCCAACCTGACTCTTCGACGCAGGGCCCCCAGCCTATCCTCCCAGGACCGTGTGCTGAGCGAGCGGAGGTAAGTAAGCGAGGGAAGGGTGCCAGGCGAGGGGGGGCTATGGGGGAGGGGGGACATTCTGAGTCAAACTACTCTCTGCTAGCTGCTCGCGCTAACTCACTCTTGCTGGCTGTTCTCTCTTTCGCACTAGTGACCGAGCCTCTCAAGTGTTCCCCATGGCGTACGCGAGACCGCCCACGGGGGCCTCGCCAGGCAGCTTCGCGAGCCCCGCAGCGCGCAGGGCGGGGGACAGTGCGCGGTTGACCGTCGCCCACGTGTAGCCGTTCGCGGTGTTGAGCTTTTGCGGGTGAAAGCTCTTCTCGGAGAGTTCCTGCTCTTGTGCCAAGTTGAGCCCTTCGGGCCAGCGCCCGTCGAAGTTGAACGCCAAGCTTGAGTTCTGCGCTGCCCCTTGCTTCGCCTGAATCTCGCTCGCCCTGCACTTGACGCACCAATCCTCGAAGCCCGTCGGGGCGAGAGTCTCGAGCCTTGTCCAACCGCTTGATGGCCAAGTATATGCACTGAACCTCTTCGTTTTTGCCTTCTGTAATTGTGCTGGCCAGCGTCGATGGTAGTGCCGCGTTTGCGTGAAGATGTGGGGAGCCGTACTCGTGTCCTGTTCTTGCCTCGCGAACGAGACCTTCGTACTTGGTGGTCGCCGTCTTGGGTACAAAAAAACAGGGTGGCCTGCCTGGCCATTGAAGTGAATGTCTGACGCCTCCCTCCCTCGCATCCGCGCCTCCATCTGCATCAAAAGCTTCTTCTCCTTGTTATCGCTGTCTGTGCCGGTGCCGCGCGGCGCCTGCTGCCGCCCACCTCCAGGCCCCGCTTCGACTTGCGCCGCTGCCCGCAGCCACTTCGACACCGAAGTGAAGAAAGTGTTTCTCAAGACGCGGAAGTAGATGCTCGCGTGCGAGATGGACATCGAGAGCCTTCGGGTTCTGAGCCTCAAACGCGCAACGGGCAGGTCGTGATGTTGTGTTCTCGCCGTGTAGGAGTCCTGGCGCTAAACTGCCGTGGGCATCTTCGGTGGGCGACTGAAGCCGCGAGATGCCGCTGAGCAGTGGTCCGATCTGCAAAGCTACTGTTGCACACAATACAATGATTCGACGAGGTGGCGACCATAGTCATGCGATCTGCGGCGCAGATTTGCCTCGGCATCGCCTCTGTGTCCCGCGACCTTCTGCGCGACCCCGCGCGCAGTGCGACGCCATGCTCTGTCCGTCGATGAAGCCTCACCCACAAACAGGGCAGAGAACCCCAGGGTGCCCTTCCATGCCCTCAGCAGTGGGGGGCTGGGGGACCTCTGCTTCGACCTGGAGCTCTGGGGGGAGCTACTGCAAGGGATAGCTCGCGAGACCTAAGCTCAGCCACATAGATCCTACAAAAAAACAATCTCTGGCCTTCCCGATAAACAACTTCAAAACACTCCCTTCAAGAATGGGTAGAAGCCCTTGGCCCTCCGAGGTCCCCTCGGGGACCTAGACAGCATCCAGAACTGCTGGGGCCGCGCGTTAGCTGTGGGCAAAACTCCACCTAAGTCATCTACGTCCTATGCTGATTGTTCGCAGAGGGCTTGCCCTACAAGGGCCGCTATCACTTGCTGGTGCGCTCTCTGGTGGGTCGCGCCCCCCCTGGGGCCACATGAGCTTCCGAATTCACAAATCTGCGGGTGCGGGGGGGGGGGAGGGCGTCCCAAACTTCAGATGCCTCTGAACCTCGAGGTTGGAGGGGGCCCTGACCTTGTCGAGCTGCCCCTGAATGCGTTGCCCCCTGGGCACGACCCTCGCGAACTTGAGCGCAATCTGCCGCAGCGGGGCGAGCGCCTGCGAGGTGAAGGGGGGGGGGGGGGGGGAGGGGGGGGGTCGCATGTTGAGCACGCGCGCCGCAAGGCCCGATAGGGCCGCATCGAGGATAAGACCTGAGAAAACAATCCCCTTGAACCTCATTGGGATCATGGGGTGGACCAGAACTTGCCCATCTTGTGCCGCGCCGATCTGACGGCCTGCATCCTGAACTTCTTCTCCGCTGAAAAGCTGCTGTTCAAGTGTTGCCGTCCTCCGAGATACCCTGCCTTTGCTGCCACCTGTCCGTCCATGTGTTGCTTGCGTTCGTGAAATGCTCTATGTAAGTTTCCTGCTGTCCTGCCTGCGCCTTGCATGAGGCGCATCGGCTTGTCAACGTTCTGTGCTCCTCCAACCTCCGGCATGGCATGATCAACGACTCTGTTTTCCCATTGGGAGACTGCGGCCAAGTGCTGCACAGTCGGCCCACAAGCTTGCGGGCGATATCATTCACACAGACTGGCGCGGCTAGATCTGTGACCGATTGATAATGTTCTGCCCGCAGCGGTAGAGGTCGCCGAGTACGGAGTGCCCGCTGTCACGGGCCCGTGCCCAACTCATCAATCATCATCTGCGCGACGATGCCGTAGGCCTTGACGAAAAGCTTGGTTGCCGCGTGGTCACATGATAGTACACCGCTCTGATTTGTCATGTGTCCACTACGCACTCCATCGTCAATCGTGAACGTGCTGTTGTGTATGCTCTGATAGAGGAGGCCCGCTGTTGATTCCAATGCTAGTTCGTAAGCTGCTTCTTCTGCTCGGGATTTGTGAATGCAGTGGAATGAATGCGTTGCTGGCATCGTGGAACCTCGTAACGTGGTGTACACCTGCTCGTCGTAGCCTGGCTGACCCGCACATCTGGACCAACATGGCATCTCCCCCTCTCATGCGTGAAATGTCACCATGTGCCCAGTATGCAAAGCGTGCTTTCGGATTCATAAGTGGGCGAAGAAATGGCCTTCCAAGTCCGGAAAAAAAAGCATAGTAGGTCTTTCACCAGCAGTGTTCTCCTTCTCGTTATGCTTCGGCAGTATGCAACACAGTGCCTGGTGCCAAGCTGCTGGTACTCGTCCCACTTGACGAGCTGTTCGACAATGAAGGTAGAGGCATCTCTCAAACATTGGTGCCTGATGTTCTGCTTCTGGGTGAGGAGGATCTGCTGAGACAAGTTGACTCAAATGCACGGTTGCCCCAGTTCTGGTGATGCGAGAGAGATCATTATCTGGACTACCTGCTTGGTCTTCTCGCTGCGCGGCTGGATCTTCGTGGGGCGGGTGTCCTCGACGAAAGACTGGGGCTGGAGCTGACGAGACCTCGGGCGCCACCTGTTGTCGATCATGATCGTTTTCTGGTGGAACTGGCTCTGGTTGTTCGCCGGCTGCTCGAAGT